CTTAATGGACATGCACTCCAGCCCTTAACCTTTCCTCAGCCTCTGCGCTCTTCCGACCCTTCCCGGCCCTGTCCTGTCTCTGTGGCACCCATCCTGCGAATAATGCCTTCTCCATTCCGCCCAGAACAAGACCCCATGCCAGGCGCAGTGGCGTGCACCTGTAATCCCAGCACTTTGGGGAACCAAGGCAGGCTGGATCACCTGAGGTCAGGAGTTCAAGACCAGCCTGGCCAACATGGTGAAACCCCATCGCTACTAAAATTACAAAAATTACATGCCTATAATCCCAGCTACTTGGAAGGCTGAGGCAGGAGAATTGCTTGGACCCAGGAGGCGGAGGTTGCAGTGAGACAAGACTGTGCCACTGCACTCCAGCCTGGGCGACAGCAAGAGTCCATTTCAAAACAAAAAGGACCCCAGGAGCGACTGGCCCATCCCCCTCATTCTCCCCAAGGCCCCGCCCCATGCTGTGCCCTCCTCTGGTCAAGGCCCTGCCCCTGCTGTTCCCTGCAGTCACTTGGTGGGGAGCCGTTCATGCTGAGGGACTGTAGGTAAGACACCCTCGACCCTCCGCTGTAGGGCTCGGCCCTTCTACTGTTGCTTCCCTTGATCAGCGCCCCGCCCGGCTAACATAAAAACGCCCACCGCACGCAGCTGTCATGCCGCCGGGCTTCCCGAGAGCCAGATCTGAAAGTCTGATGCCTGTCACTCACTCCTTTAACCACTGCCCGCCAGCGTCTCGCACCGATGCCCTCCTACCAGCCAAATCCCAGGGACAGCTACAGCCTTCACTTTTCCTTCTCGCACCTCCTCTTGCTCCTTAAATGCTGGGTGTCCCTGTGGTACTGTTTCCCGCTGCCACGGTCCCTGGATGATCCGTCCACTTACCTGCTACTGGTGATTGCCTATCATCTCCCCTGACCAGACCCAAGGATTCAGCCACCTGGCGGGGCTCAGCAGACTCGCCGCTGCCCCACCACCTACCTGTTTTCGTCTTGGGTCACTTAAGCAGCTGGGATTCGTCATCCATGAGGATGAACCCCACCTCCTCAACCAAGGACTGTGCCTGCGTCACACTGGCTTTATTCAGTCAACAAACATTTCACGTCTACTCTTTGTCCGACTCTGTGCTGGGTGGCAGAGGTACAGAGAGAAGCCAGACTCAGTGCCCAGCACAGGGACAGAAGGAAAGCGGCTCCTGAGACAGGAAGATAGCAGCAAGCGCCAAACGGGGTGCAGACCGACAGGAGCCCAAAGCAGCAGGGGCGTGTGCGCTTTGCCTCCTCCCTCCTTGCCTCTGCGCTTACTCTGAAGAACTGGTTAGCTCAATATCTGTTTTCTTAGATTATGGTACCCCCATACAATGGAATATGATGAAGCCATTAAAAAGGATCAAGTAGCTCTACTCATATTGATCTGCGAGGATCCCACAAAGCAAATGGAATAAGCAAGGTGCAGAACATTGAATCCCCTTTTGTAGGAGTCGCAAGTGTCCCAAAGCCATTTGCCGCAATTATCTCTGGACAGTGAGACTCAGGAACTTCTCACAGTACCTGCTTCTGAACTTGACTTCTTGAGAATTAGTTTTGCATCTGTTTTTAGGGATAATACTTCGCTTTATTGAGCCTAAGTACTATATTAAGGAGGTCGGTCTCGACCTCTCTCTTGGGCAAATGTGCATCCTGAAAGGCATGGACAGGCTTCACTGTGTTAGGACTGAGAGCAACTGACTTCTGAGCTGGGCAGGGTTGATGCGAGGCCGTGTATACTAGAGATGGCTAGAATACTCCCAGGAGCTGGGTACACCCTCCAAGCCAATGCTGCCATCTGTGTCGGTATAGGCTTTTGAGATGGGCGTGCACAGGTGTGCATGGGTGCAGGTGTGGGTGTGGTGCATGTGCAGGGCAGAAGAACGAGGAACCAGGGTCAGATCTGTACCTGGGCAGACCACACACTGACAGCCTCATGGAAGGTGAATTGGAGGCCAAGAACAAAGAGGACGCTTATGGCAATAGCCAGGCCGGTGGGGCCAGACCCGTGGAAGCGAGAGTACAAAGGCAGAGTGGACTGGGCCTATCACAGGTGTCCAAACTGACCCTGAAGTTTGGGGTCTGATGAGGGGAAGGATGAGGAGGCCACTGGCAGAAACAGGGAAGCAGAGGAAGGGGTGTGGGAGGGGAGATGAGACAGATAC